TTGCATTAAGGCACAAATGTTGTTAGCATATCTTTAAATCTTTTAAATCTTTACATCTTTTATTGACACTGATAAATATCAGCTAGGGTAATTGCATCTGTATCTTCCAGAACTAGTGCCTAGTTACTTTAATATAGAACCCCAGCCAAAACATTTTGGCTTTGGAAAGAGTAAGAAGGTTTTAAGACTTTTCTAAGGCTTTTATTATTATCTGTGTCACCATGTGTCCATGTAAAAGTGATATGTAATCTTCGTTTTAAAGGGGAATCAGCGGGGGGCACACGGGGGGCAAGGAATAAGCTAGGGGGGGCAATTGCCCCCCTTGCCCCTCTGTAGAGACGCCTATGGGCGTAACCTGCATTGTCCCTTCCAAATAACCAGACACCTGTAGCCTGGATTGTTGTCCCCTGCTTACGTCCACTCACAGCTCCAAATCTCCTATAGTTTTATCAGGTGTGACCTTTATCCTCTGCCTTATCCAGTGAGGGGTTTTCTGTAGCTATGCTAGATTTAATGGGCCAACTTGCAGCTTCGCTGACTCTAAATGCAGAAGTTGTAAGAGTTGCTCTACATCTTCACCTCTAGATTCTTTGTATGATATCCCAAACTTGTAGTGGCCTCCATGTCTGCAGTTGCAAATATATTGTCTGAAGAAGGTTGTCCCAGGACTTTGTTAGACAAATCTGTGCCCGAGGTGCCTCAGTCAGCTGAAATACTGTAGCTCCCAAGCTAAAATATACAATATCAGCTCCTAACATTGCTGTGCAAGTCACAATGGAACAGCTAGTAGCTTATACTAGTGCTGTTACCAGTCTGAGATCTCTGGAAGACCCCAAGACAATCAAAACCTTTCTGGTACACTCCTTACTCCAACCTGGTCTTTAAGGAGACTGGATTACTCCAAACAAATTATTTACTCCAAACATGACCAAAAAAACAGCACTAGTGGTGTTGTCCTTTGCTCTTCTACCCCCTTTTGTTTGTGCTTGCTAAGGCCAATCTCATCAAACCAGAAAATCCCCAACACCAATGTGTCAAGCAGACTTTTATTATGTTTAGTGGGGTAGTTGGGTAGCGCTGATAGTAGATGTGCAGGCTCTTGAGGTACAGATTGAAGTATCCTGTGTAGTACTAGAAAACAAAAAGAAAAAAAAGAACACCACAACCTAGAGCAATCACTGGCGATAGGGAGAAGGTATAGTAAGTGGGTAGTGTGTTGCACTCAAATGGCCTGGGGCTCATAAACAGACTCAGTAATAGTTGGACCTTCCTAATTGGATCGTAAGTCAATATTGGTGGAGACAGGGGCCCTGAGGAAGTGGAAACAGAGGAAGCGACCAGCGCCTAACACTGTTAGCATACATGGACTAGTTTAAATAAAAATGCACTCACATGATTCTGGGATGATGTACGTCTTTCAGGACATATGGTGCTGTGGTGGAGGAATCCCCGGACCTGCTGAGTGCTGTGATGGTGGTCTGTCCTAGATGCGCTGTATAATGCCTGTGGGCTGATAACTGTAGCCCACTTGCTGAGTGGGGTTATTAGTTATCCGGTGGTCTATCCTGGCGGAGTAACAGCTGGAGGGATAACTGTGAAGGAGTAGAAGGCTTGTCCTGAATATCCTGGCAGAGCGGCACCTAGAAGGTGCAGAGGAGAGCAAAAGCCAGCTCACATTGTGATGGTGAAAGTGGCGAGGCAAGCTGGCCAGTCAGATGCACTGTATAATGCATGTGGGATGGTAACTGTAACTTGCTGGGTGGGGTGAGTAGTTATCTGGTGGTCCATTCTGGTGGAGTGACAGCTGGAGGGATAATTGTGGAGGAGTAGATGACTTATCCTTTATATCCTGGCAGAGTGGCAGTTGGAAGGTACTGAGGAAGGCAAAAACCAGCTCACATTGTAGGGGTGGAAGTGGCGGTGCAAGGTGGTGAGTCAGAGCAGCAGCCGGTGAGCATGAAGAAAAGCCGGACAATGTGTGTAGTGACAATGCAGTAACTGGCAGGTGATGGATAGAGAAGGGACCGCATTGTTTTATCTCACCCCCTTTTACGCTACTTATTCATCTCCCCAACTGTTGGTCGAGTGGTATTTTTGGCTTATTGCTATTAACATTTATAATGCATACCCGCTCTCTTTTGATGAAAACATTTTCTCAAAAATGTTTTTCTCTAATCTATTATGGACATATGGGTGCAGTCCTCTTTGAAAGATTAGATCTCAGCTCTGATAAAGCTCTCGGTTAAACGGACTCCAACACATTAATAAAAATTAGTTTACTCTGCAGACCCGTTCCGGAGATGCAACATTGGCATCTTGAACCACATGGTGCAGGCGCAGTTGATATATACTATGATATATTTTGATGGTGCATGTATACATCAGGAAGTATGTGTGATTATGTCCGGCATAGCCTGCATGGTTGCGGATTCGCAGCTGCAGGTGAGTCTGTAATGGCAACCGGGGTACTCTCTGATTGGGGGAACCATTTTGATTGAATAAGGAGGAGCATTAGTATTTTATAAATTGAAGTGACGTATAACATCAGCAGACTCTGATGAAGGGGGTACACCCCGGAAAAACTTGGCTGGATTCTGAGCCTTCAGAAACTGTTGCATCACTTAGAGTATTTGGGTCTTATTCTAGGCACTGCTTCCCCAAGAAAAAGTTTTAACTATCTACTCTAAGAACTCTGATCCTGATTCTACAGTCCAGAAGCCACCTAACTCTGTGATTCTGCATGATAATTTTGGGCCTAACGGTAGCCTCCTTTGAGGCAGTTCCATTTGCTCAGTTCCACTGCACACCCTTACAAAACAACATGCTGTTGTTGTGGGACAGATTGGTTTAGTCTCTAGACAAATCAGTTCACTTGACACCCAAGACCAGATTGCCTCTGACCTGGTGGCTCAGGAATTCAGCTCTGGATTTGAGAAAATCATCACTCCCAATCTCATAGAAGATTATCACATCAGATGCCAGCCTGAAGGGCTGTGGAGGAGTACTAGACACCTGGTTAGTGCAGGGGACTTAGTGAAAAGAGGAATCTCACCTACCAATCAACAGCTGTAAGTGGTTTAGCAGCCCCTACAATGCTGTACACCCCCACTAGAAGGTCATCCAATCAGGATCAGTCAGACAACTATCAGGGAGGAACCAGAAGTATGACTGCAGCAAACGAGGTAACAAGGGTTCTAACATGGGCAGAACTTCATGTTTCAGCCTTGTTCATATACCAGCCATGAACAATTATCAGATAGACTACCTCAGCCAACAGTGTCTGGATTAAGGGAAGTGGTTCCTAAGTGTTTTAAGGCCTGTGTCAAAGTTGGGGGACGCTGGATGTGTACCTTCTGGCCTCCAGATTCAACAACAAACTGGGCAGTTTTTTTTTCCAGATGCAGAGATCCTTTGGCAGAAGCAGTGGATTCTCTGGTGACCACTGAGTGATAAATACAGCCTGAGCTATGCTTTTCTTCCTCTGAAACTCATTGTTCATCTACTTCATAGGATCCAGATGGAGAATGATACTCATAGCTCCACTCCGAACTGGTGGATGTGGTACTCTGACCTGATCAATCTTCTGGCAGACACCCAGTGGGCTCTTCCAGATCAGCCAGAAACATTTAAAAGCTAAGAAGTCTACCCCTTCTAAGGACTACCATCACACATGGAAGGCTTACTTGATGTGGTGCGAGAAAAGAAAGTTTCACCACAGGAAATACTCCATGGGAAAAATTCAAACCGTTTTTACAATCTGGAATAAATCAGCATTTGGTCCTGAGCACCATGAAAGGCCAGATCCTGGCCCTTGTGATCTTATTCCAAAGACTTCGAGCCACTCATTGGTTAAGACTTTTCTACAGGGTATACTGTATCTCATGTGGATCCCCTGTGACTAAATGAGATCTAAATTTGGTCAGTACTTCAAAGACCATCTTTTGAACCTCCTTAATATATTTCCCTTTCTACTCTCACTCACAATTTGGCATTCTTTGTGGTCCTTATCTCTGCAAGATGTGTTTCTGAGCTAGCGTGTTTATCTAGCAGTTTTGGCCTTTCGCCTCAATCAGGACTTTCTATTCTGCTCTAGTACATCAGAAGGAGATTTCCCTTCAATGCATGTATGCAGTTTGTGCTGTTTACCTCTTAGCCACTAATCTCAACTAAACTTATACTTTGTTTTTGTCATTCTGGATGGTCCCAGTAAAGGAGAACCAGGTTTTTGCTAAGACAGACCAGGTGGCTCAGACAGATCATTGCTCTAGCTTATGGCTTGAGAACAAGGTACCGCCTTTCACTGCCAAGGTGTACTCTACCAGGTCTGTGAGTGCCTCTTGGGCTTTTAGACATCAGGCAACTTTTTTTGCAGATTTGCAAGCCTGCCATCTGGCCTTCTGTTCATACTTTCTTGAATTTTTACCAGGTGGATGTTCAGTCCTCATCTGAAGGTCCTTCAAGCAGCTCTTTGGGCTGCAGGCTGTCCCCATTTTTTTCTGTTTTGTTATGTAGGCCTGTTTGCATTTTGTTTGCTGTGCTTCCCACCCCTCAGTTGGACTACTTTTAGACATCCTAATGAGAATAACTACTGATCCTTTGTTCCTAATTGAACTATAAAGAAAACAGGATTTTTGTACTTACCGTGAAATCCTTTTCTTCGGTTTCATTAGGCGATAATCTCTCCTACGACAATCTCTCCTAGGTACTGCTTTTCCACAAAACTGAAGCATGCTGTACATGGGAGGGATTATACCTGACTGGCCACTGGCTTTTTTGTTTGCCAGTGTCGAAATTCTCCTGTAGGCTGCAGTGTAACCATAACAGAATAACTTCTGATACTGTGTCCATTAATCAACTCCAAAAATGGATTTTGTACAATGTAGTAGGTACAAAAATTCTGTTCTATGGCTCTTGGTACTAATATATTGTTTGAAAAAGCCTGCAAAAACTGGAATTCCCCAATAACAGTAAATACATAATTATGTAAATTAATCATTTACCTGGGCAGATTCATCTCTACCAGTGTATTTTCCAATCTGAGTTTTCCCACTGATAAATATTCCTATAACTGGAAGTAGTTTTCTTGTCTCAATGTCTTGATCATCTATATATAAAGTTGCATCTTCCTCTGTTACTAAAATTCTTATTTGGTGCCAACTTTCATCAAATAGCTTCTACATGGTAAGAGAAATTTAAAAAAATGACTCTGATTAATTGTTAATTAATTATGTTTGCTAAATCAATAGTCAGATATTAGCAATAGCCAAACATTGAAGAGGAAATAAGTCAAATGAACTATGGAAATTGTTCCCAAACCTACAGCAGTATAAACATTAAATTTAGCAAGATAAGTAAAACCAACAGCAACTTTTAAGTAAAGATCCACTAGACCAAGGTTTTTTTTTTGCCCGCAAAACGTAGACAGAGGGCGAAGTACTAGTCACCAGTATTGCCTGTGGTCTCCTTATAGCCTATAGCCAATGCTGTGTTGAGGTGGATTGTGGTGTAGCATGATAAAATGCAGACATGCTGAACCTATGCACAACACAACTCACCTGAGATTTCATTATGGTTTAAGGAAAAAATAAAGAAAAACTGCATGGCACCACCCCCACACAATGGACACCAGCCCACATGGTAAAGCAATCTTTGTGAATGAGCACTTAGTTATCCGATATTTATCAACTAGATTATACTTGCTGGGATAAAAGACTGGACGAAAAAAAATTCTTCAGTCCTGCTTCCCAGTTAAAAACCCCAAATCTTTTTCTTGATTGTGATTAATATTGGGTGAGAATGTTTTACCTGTATTTTTTATAGCAGCAATTTTGAGGTCATCAGGTACATTGTTGCACCATCTTGCATATTTCTATTATTTGTTGATAGGGCAGCACTCAATGTTAACAATGTTTTAACAAGTAAAATATAAGCAGGTTTGTCCACACAGAAGTGCTGCCAAAAGGATGAAAGTTTGGGAATCAGGTGGTGCTGGGAGGGAGGAATAATGAAATAGTGTTTTGTATGGGGGGGGGAGGTTTTAGCCATTAAGGGGTCTATTCACGAAGCAGCCGAAGGATCTAGTCGTAGCTTCGGCCGATCCTTCGGCTAGCTTCGGCCCAAGGACCCCAGGATTCACAATAGCTCGTACAGCTCCCGAACAGCCGAGCGGCTCAGTCAAGCGGAAGGCATATGCTGAGCATGTTCGGCCGACCCGAAGCCACGTGAAGTCACCCGATGTACGGCTGAAATCAGCCGTACCAGCCTGAAGTGAATAGCCGAACAGCATTCGGCTCACTTCGCTTTAGGTCGGTCATTCACTCGGCTGCCTACGGCAGCTTAGTGAATAGACCCCTAAGTCTTTTAACTCTGCAGGTATAATTTGTTTCATAAAGTGTCTTCTTTTTGGCCTATTTTTCTTTCTTGAAATATTTAGTTGCTTATATTACCTTATTGCACAAGTGTTGTACATATTTATCTGATGGACAAATGCTTACACAATGCTTAGGTGTGAATGGGAACCATTGAAAACAATTAGATTCATCGTGTTGAGCATTGTCACACTTAAGGAAACATGCAACAAAATGTTCAGGTGTGCATGGGAGCTAGAAAGTGTTATTGTTAGGATAATAGCCTCTTATTTAAAGAACTGACCAGGCGTAAAATGCACATGCATTACTAAAGTAAACATATGCTTTAAAAAGGCCTGTGCAAAGGTTACAGATAGAAAATATAATACCTTTACTCCAGGTTTTACAAATGTGATAACCTGGTTGTCATTTGTTTGGCTGGTTGTAGTAAATGATAATGTTTTATCTTCTCCATTTAAAGAAACAGCAGCTTGTATGGTCCCATCAATTGCAACTATTCTCCACAGATCCCATTTCTTCTTTATTTTAAATCGCTGAGTTGACACAAAGACATAGGAAGGAGGAAGACCTTCTGGAAAAACATTTCTGGAAAAAAAAATGTAATTTACAAAAGTGGAATTATTCTAGATGCCCCTAACCCCCAAAAAATAATAACAATGATATAAATAATACCTTGTTAATTCTGTAAGATCAGTTTGTGATGTTATTTCAAATGCTTTAGTGGTAGGGATAGAGCCTTCGACTCTCTTGGCTTTTTTTTTATTTAGTCCCAGTCCTAATAGTATGTCAAATCCCTTTTCATCTCTGGCTGCCACTGGTATTCTTGTGGGACAAACAGATTCTGCAGTGCAAAAAGAAATGCATTTACAGTAATACAATTACCAGACCAGACCATGCAAGACTCGTGTTTACAACCGACGCACACTTTTCTAGCATCATTTTCAAGAAAAATAATAATATACAAGATTCATGCTCCTAAGCTTAGGAGCTTACTCTAATAGGTTTTCTGTCCAGTTGTCGAGATTCTAAGGAATGATGGGTTCATAGTCACACAGTTAACTCGGAAAAGGAATTGAAAGCATAGCTAAAAGGAATTTAAACTGTACCTGACGGGTAAAAAAAATGGCCACAAAGCTGTCCCTGCAAAAACAGAGAGTAAACACTTACCTGTCCCATGTCCCGCGGCCCACAGTGCCAAGCACCACTCCATGGAGGAGAAATCTATTCTTCTGAGAAACCAATACTGGACTTCCGGTTCCGGCGCCTGATGTTTTTGTTTTGTTCTTTTTCGGCACGAAGCAATGGTCCCGTTGACCGTTAAATACTGGCCGTTATAGCCAGGGCTTTTGCCCCCACAATTTATGGTTTTTGGGTACTAACAGCTACTATTAGGTGGTACAAGTTGACTAGATATTTCACCTTGGTCTCACAATGGTCATGTGAGCTAATATGGTTAGGAGCACACAGCCCGATCCAAATACTGGATGTAAAATTGCATACTGTCATGCTAAAGTATACGGTATTAATAATGGACATGTTTTCTTGTGATTTCTTCCAGCTGGTTCTCAGTCCAATATGAGAGTGATCTCCTGGAATATTAATGGCCTAAGATCCCCAGCTAAACGTATGATGGTCCTCCGACATCTAAAAAAGTTGAAAGCAGACATAGTGTTCCTACAGGAAACGCATCTTTCCAAAGAAGATATTAATAGATTACACAAATTGTGGGTGGGCGAGATTATCAGCTCCCCTGCGGTGGGAAGACGAGCTGGGGTAGCGATACTGTTTAACAAATCTTTACCATATAATGTACTACATGTTGATACAGACCAACAGGGGCGTAAATTGCGGGTCAAAATCAAGATACACAAAAAAAATTTCTCATTATATAACGTATACTTCCCAAACTCCCCTACCGCCGCATATTTCCAGGAGATCACCTCATGGATACTACAGGACGACAACCCAAATAAGCTCATAGGGGGAGATTTTAACTCAGTTATGGCTCTGAACGAGGATAGGTCGGGCAAAATGAAAACCCACTCTGGGCCAGGAACCCCCCTCCATACTCCCCTGCTTGAATTGTCTACCAACGCTAACCTCGTGGACGTTTGGAGGGTCAGGAATCCCCTGGATCGTGAGTACACACACTTCTCACCTGTACACGGCTCCTTTGCCAGGTTGGACTACTTCCTGGCAACGGAGACAGTGGACTCACTAGTCACAGACACTACATTGTACCCCATAGCCATATCTGATCATGCACCAATACTGATTCAGCTACAGTCCTCTCTCCCGAGAGGGGACTTTTATATTTGGCGTTTTCCTTCACATTTATATGCAGACTCCTCCTTTAAGAACATGCTGGTGGAGGCATTGCGAGAATATGAGTCCTTCAACGGAGCTCATAAAAACACACCTACTCTTTACTAGAAACCAATACTTCTGGAAGTGTTGATCTCGTTTGTCTCTTACTGTGATCAGCGGTTCCTATGTTACTATTGGACACAGTTCCTCTTAAATAGAGCAGTATTTGGTGGCACAGGCAGAGGGAGAGGCAAGTATTGCCTCTCTTATTTAGCCGGTTTCTGGCCATTTATTTACCTAACAGGGACGCAATGGTGCTTTCTTTGACACTTACTGTCCAAGGAAATCAGGCTGAATGGAATAGCAGCATATGAAATTATGTATGCAATCTTCATGGCCAAATACTTTATATCTGTGCATGAACACTGTGATACCACCACATGGGTTTTGCAATTACACAGACTTGTATTGGTATGCATTTAAAGACAACAAAAGCCTGTCAACCTACCTCCTTAGTGAATCAGTACACATTTCATGATGCAAGCCACATTTGTAGGTGAATTAGCCGATATAGACCAGCTACCGTGGTTGTGCAAAATTCCATGAGCATCATTTGGGTGTGGTAAATACTGTACAAGTATGCTTTGGCAGGTTTTGTAAACCTTTTGTATAAAGTAACATTTTAAAGGATTTCCAAGTATACTTTATATTTTTTAAGGGTTCATTATCTTCCCAAATATCTCTTAGTTTTGATTAAAATAAAATGCTAGCTTGAAATTATCAACACATTCTCATGCATCGACTTGAAACTTGGTTATCTGAATGATATTAAAACATTCCAAAAATCAATCTGCATCACTGCTCTATTTTAGTTCAAAAGCTCTTAGTGGATTGCACCACTTAATGTGTTTTTAAGACCTTTCCTTACTACTAGTAGACATTTGGTCACATTCACTGTCTGCAGTGTGTATCTGGCAAAAACTACTCAGCTGTTCCCACCCTTGGATATTCTCTGAGTCAGCATTTTATTGGCAGACAGTGGATAATGCACCAAGCAGTTTAATAACCTTAAAAAGCAAGATGACAGGGAACTCTTCCAATGTATATTTGTTTAACCTCTTCCTAATTTGACACCTTTCTAAATATAATTAATTTACTTAAAAACTTGGTACATGGTACATGCACGCTTTCACATAAAAGTGCTGCTAATCAATTTCCATAAAGGTAATGCAAACCGGAAGAGAAGAAAAAGCACTGGTTGAGTACTGCCAACTAACATCAGACAGGAGAGATAAATAACAGGATCCAAAGAGAATGACACTATAATTAGCTGTGCTAGAATACTTAATAATTTAGCTTCTTCAGACCTTAAAATGGTTTAAACTCTGTGTTGTATCATCGATCAAAATAGCACACAGTTGTTCTAAATATCTAAAAGAAAAGCATAATAGTAGCAATGGAAATGTTAGGGTGGAACTGTTTCCTGTAGTGTATCAGACGCGGAAATTGAGCTTTATAGTGAAACTGTTGAAACCCAAACCAGTCAAAACTTATTTTTTTATTTTTGAATGGGGATGGGATAGGGATATTCCTGGTTAGTTTGAAACCCATCACTGGGACAGAAATTGAGGAGAATTCTCCCACATCAGATCAAACATTAATGAGGAACTGAACTCTGGAAGCTCAAAACAAGACAGGCAGGGGACAAAGGACTAGTGACCTGACGGGCCATTCCTTGTTTTGCACTGTGACTCTCTGTGGAGGTGGTCATCTTGCTAGAGATAGGATTTTGCTTCCCTAATGTCAGAACCTCTAGCAAAGAGAACAAATCTCATTCCATATCTCCCGAGACTAGCAGTCAGAGGCAGCAGTGCCTTAGCTGTTACAATACAGATATTCAGTTATGAGGCTGTAGACACAGAAGAGCGTAGGCACACTTACATGCAGGGAAGAACACTGAGTTTTTCACAATACGGTCAAGACAGGAGGTACTTTTCCAGGGTATTGCTTAGGCACAACTGACATATCTAAGTGTTCCATATAACATATGCAAATTTTCACTTTCCTGACACACATCCTAAACCTTTCTCAGTCTATTGGAATATTTGTTTTTATTGCTTCCCGTATCTCGATGTAAAATGAAACCACTGACCGAGATACTTTCAACAAGGCAAAGCAGTGTACTGTTCTGGTATCCATGCAGGATCTTCCCTTTTGTTCTGTTTCCATGCCAGATTTTTCCCTCTGTCCTGGATGTTTGGCTGCGAGCCTATGGGGATTCACAGGGCTGCAACCAATCATCTCTCTTCCTCCCTATTTAGGTTCAGCTTACCTGTTGCTCAGCGTTCGAGCAACGAGTCTGTTCCTGCTGCCAGACCCTCCTGTGTTCTTTGTGATTTCCCTTAGAGTTTCTGGAGATATTCCATAATCTTTTGTTCCCCTGAAATTCTTGTGTATCCCTGTGGATTCCCTGCTTGGAAGTTTACCCTCCTTGCTGTTCCCTCTGTCCCTGTTTGCTCTCAGTCAGTTGTTTTTCCCCATGGAAGTCTGTGAGCTGCCATACTTGTCAGTCTACTGTATTGCTTTTGAGTGCCCTCTGTTCACTCCAGTTTGACTGTTTTTTTATCTGCCCTGCTCTTTTCCTGAGTCTACCTGCTCTTCGCAGTAGCAGTTTCTAACTATCCTAGTAACCACTTCGCATTACCCTGTGATACCTTTCCCTGTCTTGTACTGTTCCTTGTACCTTGGTACTTCACACTCTTCCTGTGTGATACACCTCCTGTGGACCTTACCTTCCTTGTGGGTTTATTCTTGTATGCTTATCTTCACTCTCTGTGAGCCAACTCCTGTTTTCCTTGAGCCTTATTGTGTGTATTTCTTATATAGCTCAACTTTTGTGTTACGCTCTGCCCTTGTGCGTATCTGCTTTTCTGTCCAGTGCTTGTGTATATGCCTATTCCTTGTGTGTGGTTCATCTGTACACTGAACCCCGAGTACCTGTTTCTGTGTTCATCTTCCTGTGCATCTTGTATTTCTGTGCTATGTATGTTGTCTGAATTCACTCTTTTCATCACCTTTGGTTCTCATTGCCTTTGTGTCTCTTCCTGCATACCCTTACATTTATACTATACCTAGTACTTTGTGTGTACTCAGTCCTCTTGTCTTGTGTGCTGGCATTGTAGTGCACTCAGTGCTCTGTGTGGGTGCCATTTCTCTGTGATGCTACTGTGTGCTCAGGTGGCCTTTGCAACCTTCCCGCAGTCTCTTGTCCTACTTGCAATTGAGTTAATTGTCCTGGTGCTGTACTGTCTTTTTATTCCCTTAGCACTTCAGCCACCTGTGACTGTATGGGTGTGTTGAAGGGCTGCAACCTGGGAGCTGTCTTCAGCACAACATCCTCACCATCAGAGGCTCTGGAGAAGACCAAGCTCTCCTTAGACCCTGCGCCTCTGGCACAGCCACGTTTCTTGTGCAGATTCCTTGTGCCAGGCTCCCAGCATTTAGCATAACCTGCATCCATTCACTCTCTGAGAC